CCATCCCAGTGCCCCAGTATCAATAGAACAAATTTTAACCACCCTCGGTGTTTCTCTGGCACTGCCACACTGTGGACAATCCAACTTGGGCATTTGAACAGGAGCTGTTCTTTAAAGGACAGAAACCTCTGGAAACCCAAACCCTCTAACCTATTATTATTATCATTATTGTTATTATTATTATTATTATTATTCACAGACTCTTACGTATAGTTCAAATAATTGTTCCTCACACCAGTTTACATTTTCTAGGGGCTGTTTCGTGTGGTTCTTTTGCTGTTTTAGGGTAGGTGCATTCCTTGCTTGTGGTTTTGGCTTTTCATTGCCCCACTTTGGCTGTGGCCGCCCTGGCCTCAGGCACTGAGTGCTGGTAGTTGCTGTGCTTGCAGGAGGTGGTTTTTTCACGTGGTTGTTGGATGTTATCTCATCTAAGCAGCAATCATAATAATTGCTATTATTGCACATTATAATATTGGCTTTTCTCAAACATGAAAATAAATTTTATATGTGTAATGTTAATGGAACTTTGTTATGAAGACATGGGTTTTATTTTTGTTGTTAATTAAAACAGGGAAATAACTAATATATTTGTGTTAAAATAGCTACTTAGATGAAATAAACACATGAAAAAACACCTACTGCAAACACAGCAACTACCAACACTCACTGCCTGAAGACAGGGTGGGCCAGAGCCAAAACTGCAAATAATAATAATAAAAAACCCCTAAAACCACAACCAAGGAATAGACATACCCTAAAAATACAGACCCAAAGAACCACACTAAACAGGTCTTAAAGATGTAAATTAATTTTTAAAAACATATAAACTAATTTAAAAAAAAAGATGTAAATTAATTTAAGAAAAGAATTATGTTTACTATACATAAGAGCCTGTGAATATGCAAGAAGCTGCTGGAAGAGAATCCAAGGAGTATCTCTGGAGATCCCTGGAAACCTTCGCTCTGTGCTCCTTGTCTCCTTTTGTGCTTTCTTAAACCTTTCCCAGGGAGTAAAGGTGTTTACACCAGGGAGTAAAGGTGTTTACACCAGGGAATAAAGGTGTTTACACCAGGGAGTAAAGGTGTTTGCACAGGGGAGTAAAGGTGTTTCCTCAGAGGAGTAAAGGTGTTTTCAGCAGGGATTAAAGGTGTTTTCCCAGGGCAGTGAAGGTGTTTTCTCAGCCCAGCCTGGCAGTCTGGTAGCCCTGCTCCGCAGCCCAGTATCCCATCCCAGAATCCCAGTATCCCACCCCGGTATCCCATATCCCATCCTGGTAACCCAGTAGCCCATCCAGTCTCCCGTCCCGGCATCCCAGCCCGGTGCCCTGGTACCCCAGTATCCCACCCCAGTACCCCAGTACCCCATCCTGGTACCCCAGTATCCCACCCCAGTACCCTGGTATCCCTGTATCCCATCCCAGTGCCCCAGTATCCCATGCTGGTACCCCAGTATCCCATCCCAGTACCCCGGTACCCCAGTATCCCATCCCAGTACCCCAGTATCCCATGCTTGTACCCCAGTATCCCATCCCAGTACCCTGGTACCCCAGTATCCCATCCTGGTACCCCAGTATCCCAGCCCTCTGGTACCCCGGTATCCGGAGTAAAGGTGTTTGCACAGGGGAGTAAAGGTGTTTCCTCAGAGGAGTAAAGGTGTTTGCACAGGGGAGTAAAGGTGTTTCCTCAGAGGAGTAAAGGTGTTTGCACAGGGGAGTAAAGGTGTTTCCTCAGAGGAGTAAAGGTGTTTGCACAGGGGAGTAAAGGTGTTTCCTCAGAGGAGTAAAGGTGTTTGCACAGGGGAGTAAAGGTGTTTACACCAGGGAGTAAAGGTGTTTTCCCAGGGCAGTAAAGGTGTTTGCACAGGGGAGTAAAGGTGTTTGCACAGGGGAGTAAAGGTGTTTCCTCAGAGGAGTAAAGGTGTTTTCAGCAGGGATTAAAGGTGTTTTCCCAGGGCAGTGAAGGTGTTTTCTCAGCCCAGCCTGGCAGTCTGGTAGCCCTGCTCCGCAGCCCAGTATCCCATCCCAGAATCCCAGTATCCCATCCCAGAATCCCAGTATCCCATCCTGGTATCCCAGCAGCCCATCCAGTCTCCCGTCCCGGCATCCCAGCCCGGTGCCCTGGTACCCCAGTATCCCACCCCAGTACCCCAGTACCCCATCCTGGTACCCCAGTATCCCACCCCAGTACCCCGGTACCCCAGTATCCCATCCTGGTACCCCAGTATCCCACCCCAGTACCCTGGTATCCCTGTATCCCACCCCAGTACCCCAGTATCCCATGCTGGTACCCCAGTATCCCATCCCAGTACCCTGGTACCCCAGTATCCCATCCTGGTACCCCAGTATCCCAGCCCTCTGGTACCCCGGTATCCCACCCTGCTATCCCATCCCGATACCCTGGTACTCCAGTATCCCTGTATCCCATCCCTGTATCCCATCCCGGTACCCCGGTATCTCAGCTCCCCGGTACCCTGGTACCCCGGTATCTCACCCCTGGTTTCCCAGTTCCCTGGTTCCCTGGTACCCCAGCCCCCTGGTGCCCCGGTACCCCAGTAGCCCATCCCAGTATCCCAGTAGCCCATCCCAGTCTCCCATCCCGCTATCCCATCCCTGTAGCCCATCCCGGTACCCCGATTCCCTGGTACCCCCGTGCCCTTGTTCCCTGGTAGCCCATCCCGGTTCCCCAGTACCCCGGTGCCCCAGTACCCCGGTACCCCATCCCGGTACCCTGGTAGCCCCCTCCGGTACCCTGGTAGCCCATCCCAGTACCCCAGTACCCCGGTGCCCCGGTAGCCTGGTAGCCCATCCCGGTTCTCTGGTGCCCGTTCCCTGTGCCCCAGTACCCTGGTACCCCGGTATCTCACCCCTGGTTTCCCAGTTCCCTGGTTCCCTGGTACCCCAGCCCCCTGGTACCCCAGTAGCCCATCCCAGTACCCCGGTAGCCCATCCCAGTACCCCGGTTCCCCAATACCCTGATGCCCCAGTACCCTGGTAGCCCATCCCGGTACCCCGGTACCCCATCCCGGTATCGTATCCCTGTATCCCAGTACCCTGGTTCCCCAGTACCCCATCCCGATTCCCCAGTAGCCCATCCCAGTGCCCTGGTAGCCCATCCCAGTTCCCTGGTAGCCCACCCCCGTACCCCGGTACCCCTGTATCCCAGCCCGGTTCCCCGTTCCCGGTGCGTTACCGCAGCAGGCGCAGCTCGGCCAGCAGCGTGGGGTTCTGATGATAAAAATTACTAAAAGCACCCCAGGAATCCACGTGCTCTAAAAAGGTGGGACTGAGGAGGAGCCAGGCTAAAGAGCTCTTGGAACTTGGAAACTGCTCTGGGGAAAAGTTTACTGTGCATAAGGGTCTGAATGGTGTGAAAAGTGCACATTACATGCTTGGCTCTTTGCAGATATGACAATTAATGTTATATGTGTTATGTTAGAAAGTTGTATTGTATTAATCTTTTTAAGTAGTTTTAGGTTATAACAAAATGTTAAAATAGAAACTGTGCAATGTGAGATACTTTTTTTAACTAGCTCAAGAAAGGGATGAGATATTCAAGAAATTCTTTGCACAGAGATAACAGCAAACAAGACACCAAAATCCCCCAGAGAAGAATTATTGCCTCCTTATTGGAAAAGACCAATTTTCTTCCACCTCCTTCCCAAATTTAAGGAGCCAACAGGATCAAGGGGGAGAAGTCGACAAGAACCAGAGAAGACCCTTTGTTAGAAAAGAATTTATGCATCATGTATGAGATATATGAATGTGCAGCAGGCTTTTAAGGGTTAACCCTTTGTTACTGGGGGTCCTTTCTGGGGCAAGAGGCACCTTTGTTTTTATTGTCTTTTATTGTCCTAACCCTGATTGTCCAAACTCTTATTGCTCTCATTTTTATTACTGCTTTTATAACCATTTCATTACTACTGAACTTTTAACACTAAAACAAGTGGCTGGCGTTTTTCACACCATGCAGAGCGCTGATGGAGTGAAAAGGAATGTGAGGGGTAGAGACAGATATCACCCTGAGATAACAGGGAGGCTGAGTGCCGAGATGCACCCAGGTAACTGTGGGAATCCCTACAGTCAGGGGGTTTGGGAAAGCTGTGAAAGGCAGAAAAGCAGAACTGTGACTGGAGCCATGAGACAGGTCAGCAGAAAAACGGTAAAAGTGGAAAGGAAAGACAAACGGAACAATGGGGGGTGTGTTAATGCGGGGCTAGAAAACTCCCGGACTGCAGGAAAGGAAATTTAATGAGAGGTGAGGGAGTCCTGAGCCTGATAGGGGAGCGCTGGGCATCGCGTCTGAGGGCTTGCAGGCAGGAATTGCACTGAAAATACAAACGGAATGTGAATTCATACATGTGAATGCATGCGCAGGAACATGAGAGCGTGTTGAGTGTGAATTCATACATGTGAATGCACAGGAACATGAGAGCGTGTTGAATGTGAATTCACACACAGGAACATGAGAACGTGTTGAGTGTGAATTCACACATGTGAATGCACAGGAACATGAGAGCGTGTTGAATGTGAATTCATACATAGGAACATGGGTACATGTTGGATATGAATTCACACATATGAACATGGGTACATGTTGGGTGTGAATTCACACACAGGAACATGAGTACATGTTGAATGTGAATTCACACATATGAACACACATGAGTACATGTTGAATGTCAATTCATACATATGAACACACAGGAACATGAGTACATGTTGAGTGTGAATTCACACACATGAACATGAGCACATGTTGAGTGTGAATTCATACATAGGAACATGAGCACATGTTGAGTGTGAATTCACACACATGAACATGAGCACATGCTGAGTGTGAATTCACACATATGAACACACATGAGCACATGTTGGATATGAATTCACACACATGAACACACATGAGCACATTGTGAGTGTGAATTCACACACATGAACATGAGCACATGTTGAGTGTGAATTCACACATATGAACACACATGAGCACATGTTGAGTGTGAATTCACACATATGAACATGAGCACATGTTGTGAATTCACACACATGAACATGAGCACATGTTGAGTGTGAATTCACACACATGAACATGAGTACATGCTGGATATGAATTCACACACATGTACACACATGAGTACATGTTGAGTGTGAATTCACACATATGAACACACATGAGTACATGTTGGATATGAATTCACACACATGAACACACATGAGCACATGTTGAGTGTGAATTCACACACATGAACACACATGAGCACATGCTGAGTGTGACTTCACACCCCGTGGCTGGACAGACTGCTGCCCGTGTGCCTGGGCTCGGTGGGACTGCTCCGACCCTTCCAGAGTTTCTGGACACTCGCAGTTCTGTGTCTGCTGCCACCTCCCGCTGGCACAAACAGGAATGAGCTGCTGCTGGGGCACAGCCAGCCCCAGGGGTGCCCGCAGCCCTGAGCCCGGCTGGCACTGCCAGCCTCTGCCCTGAGCCCGCTCCTGCTGTCCCCCACTGAGCTGGCACTGCAGGTGTCCCCACACCCTGCCCTGCTCCCAGCCCTGGAGTGCCAGCCCAGCCTGGGGCTCTGCTCCTCGGGGAGCCCTGGCACAGCCTGGCATGGACAGGGATGTGGGCACAGCCAGGACAGGGATGTGGGCACAGCCTGGCATGGACAGGGACTGGGGCACAGCCTGGCATGGACAGGGATGTGGGCACAAACAGGACAGGGATGGGATGTGGGCACAAACAGGACAGGGATGTGGGCACAGCAGGACAGGGATGTGGGCACAGCAGGACAGGGATGTGGGCACAGCAGGACAGGGATGTGGGCACAGCAGGACAGGGATGTGGGCACAGCAGGACAGGGATGTGGGCACAGCAGGACAGGGATGTGGGCACAGCAGGACAGGGATGTGGGCACAGCAGGACAGGGATGTGGGCACAAACAGGACAGAGATGTAGGCACAAACAGGACAGGGATGTGGCACAGCCCCAGGACAGGGATGTGGCACAGCCCCAGGACAGGGATGTGGGCACAGCCAGGACAGGGATGTGGGCACAGCAGGACAGGGATGTGGGCACAAACAGGACAGGGATGTGGGCACAGCAGGACAGGGATTGGGGCACAGCCCCAGGAACCCTTCCAAAGCCCTGCCAGGCTCCTGCCAGAGCACCGAGCCTGCAGCAGGGCCAGGACTGAGCTGTTCCTGCTCCAGAGGGCCCTGGGGCTGCCTGTTCCCACTGCTGAGGGTGCCTGGGCACAGGGCTGGGCATGGGGACACCAGGGGTGCCAGCAGAGCCTGGGGGCTCCACCCGAGAGCCTCTGCAGCAACAGAAACCCTCTGGTTGACAGAATCCCCCTGCCCTGCTGCCCACTCTGGGGGATCAGCCCAGGCCTGGGGGCTTTGGGGTTTTCAGGGATCATATCCCAGCTCTGAGCTTTGCTGGATGTGCTCAGTGTTGGACAAGATGATTTTTAAGATTAGAGAAGATCAACCCCTCCCTGGGGAGCAGGGGCAGGGCAGCTCCCCCCCACGGCTAATTAACTAATGTTAATGAGTACCTAATGAGTTAATGAGGCGGCCACAGCCCGAGAGCAGCTGTGGGGAAGCAGAGGGGTGGCTGTGTCAGGGGGGCTGTACCTGTTCTTGTTCTCCAGCTCTGCTATCAGCTGCCTCTGCTGCTTGTTGGCATCGAAGCTGAAGGGCAGGTCTGCAGGAGGACGGGGCTGGGGAGAGAGCAGAGCCTCAGCAGGGGCAGAAAACACTGAGATCACAGGGAGCCAGACACAGAAACCACAGAATCATGGGGAGAGAGCAGAGCCTCAGCAGGGGCAGAAAACACTGAGATCACAGGGGATCTGACACAGAAACCACAGAATCACAGGGGATCTGACACAGAAATCACAGAGATCACAGGGGATCTGACACAGAAATACAGAAATCACAGGGGATCTGACACAGAAATCACAGAGATCACAGGGGATCTGACACAGAAATACAGAAATCACAGAGATCACAGGGGATCTGACACAGAAATACAGAAATCACAGAGATCACAGGGGATCTGACACAGAAATACAGAAATCACAGAGATCACAGGGGATCTGACACAGAAATACAGAAATCACAGAGATCACAGGGGATCTGACACAGAAATACAGAAATCACAGAGATCACAGGGGATCTGACACAGAAATACAGAAATCACAGAGATCACAGGGGATCTGACACAGAAATACAGAAATCACAGAGATCACAGGGGATCTGACACAGAAATACAGAAATCACAGAGATCACAGGGGATCTGACACAGAAATACAGAAATCACAGAGATCACAGGGGATCTGACACAGAAATACAGAAATCACAGAGATCACAGGGGATCTGACACAGAAATACAGAAATCACAGAGATCACAGGGGATCTGACACAGAAATACAGAAATCACAGAGATCACAGGGGATCTGACACAGAAATACAGAAATCACAGAGATCACAGGGGATCTGACACAGAAATACAGAAATCACAGAGATCACAGGGGATCTGACACAGAAATACAGAAATCACAGAGATCACAGGGGATCTGACACAGAAATACAGAAATCACAGAGATCACAGGGGATCTGACACAGAAATACAGAAATCACAGAGATCACAGGGGATCTGACACAGAAATACAGAAATCACAGAGATCACAGGGGATCTGACACAGAAATACAGAAATCACAGAGATCACAGGGGATCTGACACAGAAATACAGAAATCACAGAGATCACAGGGGATCTGACACAGAAATACAGAAATCACAGAGATCACAGGGGATCTGACACAGAAATACAGAAATCACAGAGATCACAGGGGATCTGACACAGAAATACAGAAATCACAGAGATCACAGGGGATCTGACACAGAAATACAGAAATCACAGAGATCACAGGGGATCTGACACAGAAATACAGAAATCACAGAGATCACAGGGGATCCGACACAGAAATCACAGAGTCACAGAGAATCAGACACAGAAACCACAGAGATCAGAGGGGATCAGACACAGAAATCACAGAGATCACAGGGAATCAGACACAGAAATCACAGAATTCACAAAACTTGCATGAAACACAGAAATCACACAATCACAGAAATCACAGAAATCACATGAAACACAGAAATCACACAATCACAGAAATCACAGAAATCACATGAAACACAGAAATCACACCAATCACAGAAATAACAAGAAGCACAGAAATCACAGAAAATACACAAATCACAGAAGTCACACGAAACACAGAAGTCACAGAATCACACCAATCACACAATCACAGAAACCAGAGAAAATACACAAATCACAGAAGTCACACCAATCACAGAAAACACAGTCACAGAAATCACAGAATCTGTGATTGACACAAGTCACAGAAAACACAGAAATTACAGAAATCACACAAATTACAGAATCACAGAAATCACACCAATCACAGAATCTGATTGACACCAATCCCACAAGTCACAGAAAACACAGAAATTACAGAAACCACACAATCACAGTAATCACAGAAATCACACCAATCACAGAAAACACGGAAACCACACGAGTCACTCACACAATCACACAATGACAGTCCCACACCAGTCCCCCCAGTCCCTCCCTGCATGCAGGCCTGCAGCCAGCCCCACAGCCCCCTGTGCCAGCCCTGCCCACCCTGCCAGGGAACAATTCCTCATTGCCAATCTCCCACCCAGCCCTGCCCTCTGGCACTGGGAGCCATTCCCTGTGCCCTGTCCCTCCAGCCTTGTCCCCAGTCCCTCTGCAGCTCTCCTGGAGCCCCTCCAGGCCCTGCCAGGGGCTCCAGGATCTCCCCAGAGCTCAGTTTTCCCTTTGCCCCCCCAAATCTGCACCCCACAGGGAATCAGACCAGAGCCATCCCAGCCAGCAGCACCTTGGCATCATGGAATGCCAGCTGGGTTGGGCGGGAAGGGACCTCAGAGCCCACCCAGAGCCACCCCTACCCTGGCAGGGACACTGCCACTGCCCCAGGGTGTCCCAGCCTGGCCCTGGGCACTGCCAGGGATCCAGGGGCAGCCCCAGCTGCTCTGGGCACCCTGTGCCAATGGAAACTGCAGCCACCAGCTCTGAGTGCACAGAAAACATCTCCCCAAAGCCATGGCACACTGTCCCCACGGATGTCACCCGTCCCAGAGCTCAGCAGGACTGTCCCCATGACAATTCCCAGGCTGCCATGGCCAGGACAGGAGCTGGGAACAAGGAGGAGCTGCCAGGATTCCAAACCTTGGAGCTCAGAGTCCCCCAGAATGTGACAAATCCTCCTGTCCCAGCTGATTCCCCGTTTTTTCTGGGCTGGGAGCAAGTGCTGGGGCCATGAACAACTCCCAGGTTCCCAGAACTGAGCCCTGCCTGCACACAACCCCCCATTATTCCCTTTTCCCTCCTTCCTCTGGCCCAGCAGCCCCGGCACTGCTCCAGCATCTCTTTGGGATGGGATTGGGAACAGGGATTTCCCTCAGGGCTTGAGGAGCCTCAGCAAACTCCAGGTGCTGCTCCTGGACACCCAGAGAACGCCTCCACTTCAGGCCCTGAACAAGAGTTTGAGGTGATTTATGGGATTTTAACAACCAGGTCCCCTCAGAAACAATCCAGTTTTCATAACACTTTGTACCAGAAGAAGTCAGGCCATGACTAAGAGCTCTTCCAGCACCTTCCAGCGTGACAGTGACTCAGCCCTTGCTGTCTCAGCCTGGGTTTCACAGGAGTACGTGGAAATTTCCTCTTTTCCACCTAAACCTGAAACCTGCCACTGTGTCCTCAATATTCCCACGTCCCTGGCGAGTGGAGTGACTGTGGAGGGAGCCCTGGGCAGGGGGAGGGGGAAGTGGCACATTCAGATGTCCCAGCAGCACAGTGTGGCTGGAGGGTTTCACAGAGGTCTGCCCACGTCCCTCTGCCCTGGGGGAGCCCAGAACGTGGGAGATGCTCCTGCACACCCTGCTCTCCCTCCCTGTGGGCAAACCAGCCACGACAGGGGTCCCAGGCTGCAAATATTCCCTGGAATGTCAGCAAACCCTGGCTGTGCTCCCGCGGCCATTTTGTGTCACAGCAGGGCTGATTTTCACCGACTGGAAAAATTCATCCTTCATCCTCCCCTACGAGCAGCTGCAAACACAAACCCACCTTTCCCTCTCCCAGGCTGCTTCCCTCTGGAATAAATCCGCCCCCAGCACTCGGCCAGGATTTGTTCTCCTCACATTTCTCTCCCTGCAGCCTGAGCAGCGCCGATCTCCCCGCTCCCCCACTGCCCTGACCTCGTTCCCAGCAGAAATTGGGGATTTCGGGCAGGTTTGGGAGCCCAGCCCCCCGTGGTGTCCCCCAGCCCTGGGTGGTGTCCCCCAGCCCTGGGTGGTGTCCCCCAGCCCCCCGTGGCAGGACAGGGCACTCACAGCATTGCCGGCCTCGGCGGCCAGGCGCGCGGCGTAGCGGGCGATGAGCCGGTGCTCCTCATCCAGCCGGCCTGGGCTGTCCAGGGCACTGCAAAACAGGACAGGATGAGACCAGGGAATTGTAAAACCTGACCAGAGAGAGCCCAGGGAACCGAGAAACAACACAGAGCCAGCCCAGGGAACTGAGAAACCAACCCAGAGCCAGCCCGGGGCACTGAGAAACAGCCCAGAGCGAGCCGGTGCTCCTCATCCAGCCAGCCTGGGCTGTCCAGGGCACTGCAAAACAGCACGGGGTGAGCCCGGGGAACTGAGAAACCTGACCAGAGCCAGCCCAGGGATCTGAAAAACCTGACCAGAGTGAGCCCAGGGCACTGAGAAACAGCCCAGAGTGAGCCGGTGCTCCTCATCCAGCCGGCCTGGGCTGTCCAGGGCACTGCAAAACAGCACAGGGTGAGCCCGGGGAATTGTAAAACCTGACCAGAGAGAGCCCAGGGAACTGAGAAACAGAAATCCCAGTCACAGACACAGC